ATCACGTCTGGAGGCTATTGTCATGCCATGTGGTGTAGGTAGCGGCTAGGTTATTCAATGGCAAGCGAGTACAAAGAGCATTCCTGGGTGAGTGGGGCTACCGGAGCTGCTCGGGCGATACTCGTGGTGTTAGACAGCGAGCCCGTATCTGATCTCTATGACTGGATGGACTCGGAGCTCTTCAATGATCATGATCGGGCAGCAGCAGCTACGGCGGAGGATGGCGTTCAGGACTTCACTGAGGCTGATCTTAACTATCGGTTGGTCTCAAGAATGCCGCGGCGAGTATTTGAGAGGGAAGATAGGAGTATGAAAGACGCTGGGATCGAGAACCAGATTGTGAGACTTCCTCGAGCTGTTCGTTCATCAGCATGGTGGGTTCTTTGGTAGGTATTGGCTGCAGAACGAATTCGCTAGATTGGTGGATCGATCTGGGATTGACGACCTCCTGGTCGTTGATGTACAATTTTGCACTTTGTTTGTCGGCATAAAGAGCTGTCAAATTCTGCGTACTGATGAGCACATACTACGACTAGAAACCCGAGTACCACTGGCATTGCGTTATACATGGGCAATATATCTCTTCCATTCATGTCACTATTCGAGGTGTCGATGAGGTTGACTTGGCACCGATCGGAGTATGGGAATCTGCTCTTCTTGTAGCCAGTTCAATTCATGGAGCCTTATCCCCCTTCAATGGTATCACATATTAGTTTAAGGTCTAGTAGTCAGCAGATGAGTGCTCGCGATCGACACTATCGAGTTTACTGCATTCTCATAGTACTGACCATCGCATGGTTCTTCATCTTGGGCTCCTTGGTGGGCATCACCATCTATGCTAGTGCAAGTAAGGTCACTTAGAGTCGTACTTGTGTTGATATTTGCTATTCTCAGGTTCAGCGTCTTTCAGCTTTCCTGTGTATGTGGTGATCGTTTGGGCAATAGTCCCGCCAGTCATACTGCAGTTCTGGAGGCGGCGTAGTGCCGTCTTGAGAATGACTATCAAGCGTCGGAAGCCGAAGTCTAAGATGCCTGAGTTTGATACAATGTTTAAGCCAGCAACTCCATGTGAAGGCGAGCTTTGCCCGATATGTCTCGGCGACATGAGCGACTCTATTTCTATTCCGAAGAGT